ACACACACACACACACACACACACACACACACACACACACACAGCAAACCTGAAACCCCAAATGGACCTTATGTAACAATACTCGAGAGACTCGCATGGCACTAGAACACTCCTCATCAAACGCTTCTGTTTGCCATCCAGCATTACACCAAATATAACATGTCCAGAGTTAGGCGACCAAAACTTACAGGGACAAAGGCAGCAATGACAGCCTTTTTTAAAACTTCAGCGTAATAGTCTAGATAGTGAGGTGAAGACCAGACGAGAGCAAACGCCTCAGGCGCTCCTGTCAGATATCAAGGAAAAGCAGCAAACAACCAGAGACAGCAGTGAAGATAATAAATGTTACACGTATTTCAAAAACAGGCTGCATAAAAAAAAATACCCGTGCTTTAGATCAATGGTTCTCAAAACACTAAAATTGTTCATCGTACAAAAAAATCCTGTCTAATTTGGTTAGATTTTACCAGAATGATGAATGTGCATCAAAAAGCATAAAGTGCAAAACATATGGAAAGCATTTTGCTTCTGCCTTTTAAATCTTGATTTTGATCTTGCTATCTTAAGATTGCACGGTTAGTTGGATTGTACTATTTGCATTCGGTATTTTTATTGATTTATTTTTTCCAGGAGACATGCAACTCATATCATGACCAACCAGTTGAGAACCACTAGATGATCTGCCATTTTTATGTTTTGCTTGTAATTTGAGGAGTCTTTTGCGGGCAAAGAGAGACTGAAGTCCGTCAGGACCGGAAGAAAACAGTCCAGCTGAGGGTTTGGCTTGTTAACGGTCTAAAGTTTCGGTTAAACACGGTTTCCAGCACCATTCTTGGCCTGCAAACAATGCCAGCCTGAAACACTCTCTACACACAAGGACAATGAGGGAGGTGTGTTTCTGCTAAGCTGCGTCCTTCCCTTACCACAGGCAAAACACAAATCAATATCTGAGATAGGAGAGCAGAACCCATTCGCCAGGTGCACACACACACACACACACACACACACCTGTGTGACTGCCAGATTCTGCATCTGCTCTTTCCACTCGCAAGCTCGGATCTGGTTTTACTTTGTTCAGGCGAGACGAAAAAAAACAAAAAGCAGCTGTGAGAGGAAGAGGGAAGCACTACAGTCCAACAGGAAGAGGGTTTGTTGTCGTGAGGTTGCATATGAAGTTGTGTGACTGCCAGATTCTGCATCTGCTCTTTCCACTCGCAAGCTCGGATCTGGTTTTACTTTGTTCAGGCGAGACGAAAAAAAACAAAAAGCAGCTGTGAGAGGAAGAGGGAAGCACTACAGTCCAACAGGAAGAGGGTTTGTTGTCGTGAGGTTGCATTATGATTTCATCCAGACTGCTTCCACAGCAGTTTCACTGAGCTCCTTTAGATAATCAACCCAGAATGTTCGATGGCTGCCAGATTTCGTTGGTGAAAATACATTAAAAAAAAAAAGGTTGTGTAGAGGAATTTCGTGCATTACCAATATTTTGTATCACTTTGCTTACATCATGCAACTCTTAGGTTGAATTAACACAAAAATAATGCAGGAAAAACGAGCCCTTACCAAGACACCCTGAACAATTTGAGTTAAAAAAATCAGGAACTGGGACTCCAGCAGTCATTATTCTACACAGTTGCTGAAAACGACTGAAACATCGGTGGTTCTGTGGCGTAAAACAATGCGAAAGGCGCTCAGATTCTGTCCCGGCGTGGTTGCGACGCAACTATAATTACAGAATTATTTTAATAAGGCTCACATTCCACCGAACAATCAGCCGAACCGGATCGAACGCGGTCCGCAGGTCAGCCGAGCCCCGGGTGCGTGATCCAGAGCGGACTGATAGTAGATAGATAGATACATAGATAGATAGATAGATAGATAGATAGATAGATAGATAAAAACTACTGTAATACCCACACACACACAGCAAACCTGAAACCCCAAATGGACCTTATGTAACAATACTCGAGAGACTCGCATGGCACTAGAACACTCCTCATCAAACGCTTCTGTTTGCCATCCAGCATTACACCAAATATAACATGTCCAGAGTTAGGCGACCAAAACTTACAGGGACAAAGGCAGCAATGACAGCCTTTTTTAAAACTTCAGCGTAATAGTCTAGATAGTGAGGTGAAGACCAGACGAGAGCAAACGCCTCAGGCGCTCCTGTCAGATATCAAGGAAAAGCAGCAAACAACCAGAGACAGCAGTGAAGATAATAAATGTTACACGTATTTCAAAAACAGGCTGCATAAAAAAAAATACCCGTGCTTTAGATCAATGGTTCTCAAAACACTAAAATTGTTCATCGTACAAAAAAATCCTGTCTAATTTGGTTAGATTTTACCAGAATGATGAATGTGCATCAAAAAGCATAAAGTGCAAAACATATGGAAAGCATTTTGCTTCTGCCTTTTAAATCTTGATTTTGATCTTGCTATCTTAAGATTGCACGGTTAGTTGGATTGTACTATTTGCATTCGGTATTTTTATTGATTTATTTTTTCCAGGAGACATGCAACTCATATCATGACCAACCAGTTGAGAACCACTAGATGATCTGCCATTTTTATGTTTTGCTTGTAATTTGAGGAGTCTTTTGCGGGCAAAGAGAGACTGAAGTCCGTCAGGACCGGAAGAAAACAGTCCAGCTGAGGGTTTGGCTTGTTAACGGTCTAAAGTTTCGGTTAAACACGGTTTCCAGCACCATTCTTGGCCTGCAAACAATGCCAGCCTGAAACACTCTCTACACACAAGGACAATGAGGGAGGTGTGTTTCTGCTAAGCTGCGTCCTTCCCTTACCACAGGCAAAACACAAATCAATATCTGAGATAGGAGAGCAGAACCCATTCGCCAGGTGCGCGCGCACACACACACACACACACACACACACACACACACACACCTGTGTGACTGCCAGATTCTGCATCTGCTCTTTCCACTCGCAAGCTCGGATCTGGTTTTACTTTGTTCAGGCGAGACGAAAAAAAACAAAAAGCAGCTGTGAGAGGAAGAGGGAAGCACTACAGTCCAACAGGAAGAGGGTTTGTTGTCGTGAGGTTGCATTATGAGTTCATCCAGACTGCTTCCACAGCAGTTTCACTGAGCTCCTTTAGATAATCAACCCAGAATGTTCGATGGCTGCCAGATTTCGTTGGTGAAAATACATTAAAAAAAAAAAGGTTGTGTAGAGGAATTTCGTGCATTACCAATATTTTGTATCACTTTGCTTACATCATGCAACTCTTAGGTTGAATTAACACAAAAATAATGCAGGAAAAACGAGCCCTTACCAAGACACCCTGAACAATTTGAGTTAAAAAAATCAGGAACTGGGACTCCAGCAGTCATTATTCTACACAGTTGCTGAAAACGACTGAAACATCGGTGGTTCTGTGGCGTAAAACAATGCGAAAGGCGCTCAGATTCTGTCCCGGCGTGGTTGCGACGCAACTATAATTACAGAATTATTTTAATAAGGCTCACATTCCACCGAACAATCAGCCGAACCGGATCGAACGCGGTCCGCAGGTCAGCCGAGCCCCGGGTGCGTGATCCAGAGCGGACTGATAGTAGATAGATAGATACATAGATAGATAGATAGATAGATAGATAGATAGATAGATAAAAACTACTGTAATAATACCATGGTACACTGTAATGTGCGGTGCTCCAACGTCTAATACCATTAAGGAGCACAGTTTTAGTTGACTTACTCCGGGCGCCCGGTGATCCAGCGATGATGATGAAGAAGATGAAGATGATGCTCCCGGTGTGGTGATGGATGAGACCCGCTGCGCGCTTTGGCCACGCAAATACAATGTCCAGTTCACCACAAACACAGTTCGGTCAAAACATCGGCGTCTTAAGCGTGTGATGAAGTCCGTTCACTGGCTCGTACTCGCGTGTCTCTGAGCGTCTCGCCTGTGTGTGTGAATGGGGTTGAGTCAACAGAGAAACAAAGAAAATGCAGAGTCATTTTACACCGTACCTCTCTCGCTCTCTCGCTTCTCTGTGAAAGATTTTCAATAAAACTACATCAGTTCGAACTATGGTCACAGAAGTGCTGAATTAGATTTGAGTTGAAAAAAACTAAGCCATGGAGACAAAGCAATATGGGATCCACAGCCATCATACACAGAAATATTTTACTTTAGCAAACAGACACAAGTGCTTTTCTCTCTAGAATGAATCCTCAGTGCACAATGAAAAACATTGTTTTTATTACCAGAGTGAATTATATCCACACAATTTAATGGACATTTATACTTTACAAAAAAATCTGTAAAAATATGTAAGTTATAAGATTTGAGTAAGGTGATAGAAAACAACATGTATGTGTGTATGTGTGTGTGTGTGTGAGAGGGT